TTTTGCTGTTGAAGTCATTTAAATATGTCTAAACGTTTGCTTGAGAGAGAGAGAAACTTGCTGGAGAGAATTTTCTCAAATAAAATTTGCATATTGTTGTATTGGTTTCTGATTCTAATTTTAGCAAGGAGAAACTTTTCCTCTACTATGAAATCATATTAAGACATGTAAAATACATTTCTGAATGTTGAAGTATTTTTAATATAATAATTGAAAGGCACCTCCTATATCATACAACCCTCACAGCATGGTAGGCCCTTTACTCACTAGTAATAATAATAACCAGAACAAAAGCAATATATTTTTATTTTATAAAATTACTGTACTGATGTTTTTTGTAAATTGTTTATGAAAACACTTGGAATACACAATTATAAAATAATTTCTCATTAACTAAAAACGTTCCCAACTTTAACAAAATTACAATTAGATGGATAAACAAAAACAATAGAAGCAATCAGTAAAACATGACAAGTTGTAGTAACTGTTACATTTCCTTGGGGTGCGGGGGGAGGGAAAAGATTTACTGGGTTTTTGTTTTGTTTTGTTTGTTTGTTTGTTTGTTTGTTTTAAGTGGAGAAAGATTAAATTAATTAAATTTCTGGGAGAGCAAGTTTCAAACCATTGGGTCTGCTATAGTAAACACTTCATCATTTACCAGCTTCAGTTCAATGGCAGAACCCTTAGGCAGGAGGTATCAGAGCATGAAAATCAGTTTGGTGGGTCAAAAAGGAAGTCTCAAATATAAACTGAGCCAGTACCAATTCAGAGCTTTGTACGCAAGTAAAGGTAGTCTAAATTGAATCTGTCATTTAATAAGCAGCTATGCTAAAACACACAAAATAGATTGAATATGATTATGAAGCTCAAACACTTGAACAACCATTCTACTGCCTTCTGCACTAGCTGCAAGTGGTGAATCTGTGTAAAGCAGAATTATACTAAGTGAGCCTTGAGGTCAGGAGAGCTTGCATTGCTATCCCCAGATCATCATATGATATAAGGACATAACTTGCCCATACTGCCTAGCTGAAAGTTACATTGCCGAATCACATGTGACAAATAGCGTTCCTTGGATCAAAAATCTCCACAGACTCTAACCTGACTTACAGTTCCCTAGTTAGTCCCCTCAAATTGAAAAAACAGATTGATCCTTGTTGGATACCTTGTTTCAGAAACTTATCACCAGTGATTTGATTCTAGTCTTCAAGCACAGTTGGGAGATAATTCATCATCCTGATGAGCATTCAGCTCCTAAAGCGTTATGCTATTGACTTCATATCATTATCTCATAAAACATTTAAAATAGTTGACTTCTGGGTTTGTTATTTATTATAAAGTTACAGCTGTATAATATTATTCAAATAAAACATTCAAATAATATTAACTACTGTTTTTTCTGAGGACTACTCTTCTCTGTGCTTTGGCAGTGAAAGAAATGGTGCACAAAATAAAAACGTGAGCAATTCGATACATTTGTATACTGAGACTTTATTGAGTGTACCTCAAATCTGTTACATATCAGACATCTTTCAAAATCTGAAGTTTTGAATTTCAGTTATATTTTCTGTAGATTTTTATATCTCTGTAATTGTGTTTATCCAGAACATGGCAGATCAGATCTCATTTCGGGTCGCAGGAGGACTGACAGCTCTTGAACACATTCTTCAGATAGTGATGTCTTCTACAAATCTGAATGCAGTTTCACGGATTCCTGTTAAGTAAGTATAATGCTCCAGTTGCCACTGTAGATTGTGTCATTCTTCATTGATTCTATTTCTTTTTCTCTGATTATGTTTATTTTGATAATGTATCTGTCTGCTTCTGTTCCTTCTCTTGTACTACTGAAGCTAAAAATCAAGGGCCACATTCTGTGCTGCCATTTAAGTCTTGGAAAGCAAATGGAAGACATTATTTTCCCTTTCTTCTCTTCCCCCCCCCCCCCCCCAAAAAAAAGAAAAAAAAAAAGCTCTAAGGAGAGTTTTAAAACTTCAGGTGTTTCAGTATCACTGTTTCTAAACATGATATCCATCAGAAGCAATCTCCCTGTCTAGCCAAAGCAATGCACATTTAGTCTGGGACAGCAGAGACCTACCTCTACAAACAATTTTAAGAAGTTACACTATAAAGGTCTAGGGTTTTTGTTTTGTTCTGTGTCTGTTTTATTCAAGTGTTTTTATGAGTTGTGTTCCTGTCTTGATCCAAAGTGAAAGAGTTACTCTTATGTTACTGGCTGGAATTGTTATTAACATTAATCATAATACACTGGCAGTGTAGAAATGCGGTCATAATATGATTTCCTTCTTTATTTGACATTCTAGCTCTAAAATGTACAAGAGCAGAATAAAAAGTCCTTAGAGAAATGATAATCAAGCCCAAAATAATCTCTTCTGCACTGTTTACATGCTGTGCTCAGAAAAAGTGATAACAGTCAAATTTTAATATGCTTACAAATAGAAGTATTGCATGCATTTCCTTCCCATGGATTTTGCAGTATAAATTATCCCTGATAGAAGAAGAGGGTGGGTGTGCATGTTATAGACTAACTGAATCAGAAGCACCTCTACTCTACCTTTTACCTGTCTTTACACTGACACAACTAACTACCTTTCTCTCACATCTGGTAGACATAGTCTGTTGTAAAATGTGATCTGTTAGACTGACATCACCAGAACAAAAACACAAGAGGTAGAATACTTCTCTGAGTTCCCTGCTTGCACTAGGAGCAAAGAACAAGGCATTTGCTTCACTAATTTAAGGGGTGCAGCATACACGTCCCCCTGGTCTGGCCACCTCCACAGAACAGCAAACAGAGATGTTTTTTTCTACTATATTGTTTCCATGATAAGCAGCTCAGTAGTAGTCCTTGTATTCCCACAAGCACAGGAGCTGTAATTTTAACTGGCCTTTATATGAGCTGTGCAAAGGACAGGGAGCTCTTTCATTTTCCTCACACTGTGTGGCCACATAAGGGCCTGCCACAGTTTAACCCTATATGATTAGCATATGCATCTGTTATACATTTTTTTGTTTCTTTCTAATTTATTTTTAAAAGTATGTTTGACTTTGGCAGGGTTTTGTTGCATGAGATTTGAAAAAACAGTGTTTATATTGCAGAGAAAATGTTGTTTAAACTTTATTGGCCAGTATGAAAATGTATTTGTTCTGAAAGGAACTTGCTGTGCCAATAAATAAAGTCCAATTTCAGCTGTAGAATTTGTGCACTAGAAAAAATTCCAAAAGATATATCAAAGCTTTTTTTCCTTCTTTCACATCCTTTGTGTGATTCAGGCCAGTGTAATTGATTTCTCCCATCCATGAACAGCAGATTTACTCATTTTAAAAGGAACAAAACTGCTTTTTTAAAAGTTTTTTTCCTAAAATGTAGTACTCTGTATTAATAGATAAGTTTCTCTGTGCAATGTGTGCACAAAACAAGTATCTAGGGAGAACATAAATAAATATTCTATCGGTTTTATATGCCTAGCAGATCCAGAGAGATATGTTTAACACCAACTCTGCTCCACTATTGGAGTGGTTCATTTCAAGTTGCTGCAAGTTGTAATGTGTAGTAAGCATCCATAGAATAGAAGCCTAACTTTTTTTCAGAACGAATGGAAAGCAAAGTGAAATCCCAGAAACATGTATCATTGAAAGAATGATGTTGAATGGTATTGCTATTGTAGCTGCAAGCATGTGGTGTACCCTGTCCCACCTTGGGATGGGACTATATAAAGAGGAGGAAAAAGTTGAACAAGGAGAAAATAGCTCAGAAGCTGAATGGGTTCTGTAAGCAGCAGTTCGTCCCTTGGGTTCTGGGCGAAAAGCTAAGCTTGAGCCCACAGATATTTTTCAGGACAGAGAGCCTATGAGGTAAGGGCTTTCTAAATTGTGTGGAGATCTCTTCTTCTCTGAGGCACAGGAGGTAAGGACTTTATGAACTGTCGTGAGATGGCTCCTGCCCCTAAGGCTGTTCTAAAGATGACAGACTTTCATTTACTTGTTCTAGTTGTCCTCAGCTTGAAGGACTGTTATGGTGAATAATTGTATAAGGTAAAAAGAAATATGATCAGATAACTGAGTTATTTTAATTCTCAAGGAGTTCACTTGGCACTTCTCTTAAGGAAAAACCTTAGTGGAAACCACTAGTCACTTGCAGCATGCTAATTGGTGTGTAAAAAGAATTATTTTAAGAATGTTATGCACAGTTAAAACACAAGAAAGGTTTAGTCTTCATGTTTTTCTTTCCTACCAGGGCATCCATCTTCTTTTTAGCTGGCAATCACTCTGCTAAGCTAAATAATCTTTAACTTGTATCTTCTGTAAATTATCCACTAACCCTTTTTTCCCACAATATATATGACCACTGCAACACTCTCTGAAAAGTTGCACAAAGATATTACTGGATCTTTATACAGTAGGATTTAAATAGAATACAGTTAACAATTTCCCCTTGAAGAATGTAGTTGTGACTTGGAAGACTACCAAATTATCTTGTGCTGCCATAGCTCAGACCTTTCTTGAATTGAGGTCAGGTAATTAGTTTTACTGTTAGCCAACCCCATTATGTTATACATTGTATCACATTGAAATGTGTTTATGTTTCTGTTTAGAATTTTTTTAAGCAGGGAGGCTGTTACGTTGGGCATTGCAGTTGCTAAATAGTGATGCATTATTGCCAGGAAATACAATTCAAAATCTGGTTATAAATTTCTTCAGTCTGACTATCCTACAGAAAAGCTGAATAACAAAAAAGCAGCACATGAAGGAAAATAATGGTATCGTAACTTATTGCTGAACAAATGGGTGAATGGTACAACTATATTCTTTTTTTTAAAGCCTATGAAGCATCTTTGATTTGTTATTAATTAACAAGTGGAACAAATCTTAACTTGGCATTTGAAAATATCAAATATTGTCTAGCAATGTTTAATGTAGAATAGACATTTTCAAAGTTTCCTTCCTATAGACAGTTAGTGAATCAGGTTGTGATTTGGGCTCAGTAAAACGTTTTGAAAACTCTGCTAGAGCAGTTTTGCATTGGTAAGGAACATATAAACATGCCAGTTATTTTGATATTTTAGAGAACTTTCAAATCAGGGCCCCCAGTCAGTCCATGCAATGGATCCTTTTGCTGGAATCTCATGTTGTATTTGTATGCAGGACACAGTTATGTTTGTCATAAATTAACCTGCATAAGTTAACCTTGGTGAAAATTAGCATAACGATTTCAAAAGAGCCATTCTGAGATTAATTTTAATAAAATGGCTCCTGTTTAAACATAGTAGGATTTTACATTGTGTCCATATTATGTATATTCTAGTACCGAATGTAATCCATGTTAAAGGTCATAAGCTAATTTATTGTATTTCACAAGATGAATAACTGCTTTCAGAGTTAAATATCCCAGCCACTTCAGCATAGTAGTATGGCCAGATCATCAGGAAGCACAAACAGTGTACTAAATAAACTTAGTTTATGCTCTACATCATCAGCATTTCAATTGGAAATGTTCTTGGTTTTTAGTTGGGAAAGGTTTGGGATTCATCAGAAACTTTCAGAAATGTTGGCTGACTGAACTCTAAATTAATCAAACGGATGGATTAATTAGAGAAATTTTAACAAAACTGTTTTACATTGGAGGCTGAAAATTTGTCTCCTGAGTTTCAACCTAATGCAAATCAGTGTGGAAGATGTATAAACCTTTCAAAAATGAGGTTCAAAGTGGAAGCAAAAAAGCCACAGTGTCAACATTCAGCTATTCTTACTCCATAAACAAATGTGAAAGATAGTTTATATGTTTATAAACATATTTAAAATAATGAAGCTAACATTGTGATTTAAAGTGTATCTATTAAAGTATATAAAATAAACATGTATTGGCACTCTTTCAAATTTGACCATGATTCATCCACATTGTGAGTCTGTCCCAAATGAGCCATTGCCAAGAACAGAATCAGTTTGATTTCACAGGTGGAAGATGATAATACAGTACCCACCTGGAACTCTTATATTGTAGAACTTAATAATAAGTGCTTGTGTGGATCAGCAATCATCATATTATAGGAACTTTATGAATGGAAAAGCTTGCAAAATACGTTTTGCTTAATTTTGTTCTAAAAATAAGAAGTCAGGATTGATCTTTTTTAAACTACATGTATATTTACTCTAACTCACTGAAGTAGCAAGGCATTTTCATTGTTTTTCTAACAATTTCTCATATAGTGCATTTTTTTAATGAAAGTTGCAGTCTATATGTTTGCATCTGCTTGTAAAAATCACTGACAGTCTACATATCTACCTATATATCTAATATCAGACTTGGGGCCCTGCCACACATTCAGAATTAAAGCTGGATAGAAACAAACTATAAAGTTGTTACACATTTTCAAGCATTAATTTTGTAACTGGATGGCTCTCTTTATAGCTGGATGGAAATTTTTATGGTGTGATAATTACTTCACACCTGTGCCCAGTCTAGATTTATTGTGCAATTAACCAGTGAATTGCAGAATATATGGAATGTGTGGCAGGAGCCTTTCATGTGTACTTATAAACATCCCTGTTCCTCTTTTAGTTTTCTCTTCTAATATTTGAAGGTTATGTTGTACAAAATAGTAGTTTGAAGTGTTCATGTTAGTAGATGCCATAAACATAAAGGAATAATGGTGAATTGTGAATGTTTTACAGATTTATAGAAAAATGGAAGGCTAACTCCTGG